ACCTACAAGGATAATAATTTTGTACTGTAAATCTTTTGTGACTTTAAGAAGATCAGATTGTTTGTTTTTTTGTCATTGTTTGGCAAAATCTGGCAAAATGGGGTGTTACTTTGAGCATGTTACACTGTCTATATTCAGCAGTGTGTGTCTGGATTATAAATCCCTGTTCCCAGACACTCCCTGAGCACTGATTCAATATAAAATATGGATTTTCATAGCGTTCTTACTGGCATCACTATACAGTACATGCAGATAAAGTACGCATATAAGTAGCATGAAGTAGCATTTTAAGTATCTACTACATAATCTTAAACACAGCAATATTTTACCTCTAATATTCTTAAAGACAAAATTATATACATCATATACTCACAGTAGTGCACACACATACACAAACACACACGCACACACACAGTATGAATCAGTGAGCAGTGTAATGATAGGTGTGTCCAGGACGGCATCCTGATTGGTTTGACTAATGAAAGAGCATCCCATCTCTTATCAATGAATTATGCATCACACATATTACAAAACGCTCCGCTGCATAGATTATTAAAACCAACACACACACTCTGCATACATGTATAGACAGACACTGCTGACACAAAATGCTGAAATGAACAAAAAAAACTCATAAAATAAACATGCAAAAAACAACCTAAAAGTCAAAAAATGTGCTCAGTGAAGGTTTTGATATTTTAAATAATATTGCAGCTTGCAAAATTATAAATGCTACTTAGGCTAGTAGTATGGATGAGAGAAAATAAGCAATTCACTGGAGTCTAATTGACTGTATTTTGGAAAGGGACAACTAATTGAAGGTCATCCAAGCCAAAGGCAACTAGATTTTCTGAGCAGCAGTAAATCCCTTTGATATTTACTACTAAAACATACTGTATTACCTTAGAGAGCAAATACAGCCTTTTTTTCTGACCCGGAATTGTTCAGGCTGTCTATGAGACAGAAATCTGAAAGAAACTTAGATGGTAAGAGACGTGATGCCACCTGAGTCCTTGCAAAAGCCCAAGAAGAGTGGGACAAGCCACTGAATCCTTCTGTATACCCATTGTGCTGAGAAATACATAAATTGACTGTGGCAGTATCTGATGGACATGATCACAAAAAGCACTTACAGTATGACATATTTCATAGGCTCTCTGCATTGTACAGTGAAGTGTATGATGTATATTGTTCTCGAGAACGGAGGTCCCTCCTAACTAGGTTTTCTATTTATTATTGTTCAGACATCACACAAACTGACATGGAAGACTTCACACAGGAAATATATTGTCAAGAATCACACCATTGGACATAAGGTTCAATATGTTCTAAATACTTTTACATTTTAATTATTCCTTATATTATTAGTTTCTATTAAACAATTAGGTACATGGCTGAAGAAAACCAGAGTGAGGTTTTCTCGTATGTCATAGAAAGGCCTGAGGAGATCTGAGGAAGATATATATGTGTTTTCATGTAGAGGACCTGACCTGTGATGAGTCTCAGCATGCTTTACAGATGTTCATTGAGCAAGAGGTTAATGGTGAGGCCATTACCTTGTGACATAAGAAGACTTAAAGCAGAACCGAGAGAGACTATCTGAAATGATTTGTGTGAAAAGAGAGGAGGTACTTGGTCACATTTTACAGTAGGAGCCTCCATCGTTTTGAACATTTATATTGAGGTTATAAAATAAAATCAGACAAAAAAAACGGAGGTTTTTGCGTTGTGTGTCACAGTTCAGCCACAAAATTGCACAACAAATCTATTAAAAATATATTAATCATACCACAATAACTAAATAAAATAAAATTTGTTAACTTATGAAATCTGAATGAATTTCAAATGTGGACAAAATTATTGTATTTTCTGCAAATCTGTGACAACTTGCAAATCTTAACTAAGATTGGCCGCGATTTTCATTGAATTTTCGACAAGATTAAACCACATACAACATACCACTGAAAAAGGCGAGCTAGCTAGCTGAGCTAAGCTATCGTAGTATCTAAATACAGTTCCTGAATGTTCACACTGACTTCATTAAGTAAAAATGAGGATATTTTACATGAGGTACTATTAATTCAAATCAATAAACAGTAGGTGACCCACCCCAATATTTACCAGTGGCCCCATCTGGCCACCCCTAAAAAATGCCTGGGAGCGCCACTGTCATCTGCACATCTGCAGTGAAGTATTTTTATGAGTGTTTGGAGGCAAATGTATTAGCTTTCAGCTTTTTCTAACAGATGGCCAATGTGGGTTGAGTTTAAGAAAGGCCAAATACATGTTGAGACACTAAAGCGATGTACTTTTAAACAGAGAAAACATACACTGTAAGTATCGAAGATATGTAGGCTACATTAAGTGAGTACTTTCTGTTTGTGGTAATAAAGAAAGGTCATACCATTAGGAAATACTACAGTGATAGAGAGGTAAGCCAGGCCTATAATGTTTATAGGTGTATGTTTAGACAAAGTAAACGTTGTCTATGTACTGGCACAAGATCTGACAACAACATCAGCTTCCCCATCACTCAAACGTGAATGGACTCTCTGAACTCAAAGTGAAGTCTTTTTTACAGGTGTTATGATATTTGAACTTGGCAGGGTCGTGTTAGACTTGACCAAAGATGAGTTTGGAGAGGAATGAGTTTAAAGGAGTACATGCATGTTTGAGTGATAGTGATGAGGTGACAACTTTATTAAAAGGTTAGAAGTGAAAACACAAGTTCCATGATTTAAAGATGTGAAGAATCTTCTTAGTTAATGGTGAATTGAGGAGATGCTCATTTTACTCAGATGAGAATATTCCTATAGTGCTTATAAAGTAATTAGTTACATAGAATAAAGTTTTATGTGTTAATGGGCAAGGGTGACAACAGGCTTTTGCAAAGTGAAATAAATGCCGCAAAAAACTCTCAAGGCTGTTATTCTGAGTTCTTGTCATTCCTGCGTCCTGACATTTTGGAAATGTAAAAGTTATTGCCTGACAGCTGAATGAAATGAAGTCATATTTGTTTTCAGTGGAGCTGACAGCTGGATATTCTATCTGTAGTGCAACGGACAAATGAATGACAGTAAATGGACAGCTTCAGAATAAAGACTGTTTAACAGGTCAATTTATTACATTAAAAGTGCAGTCTGTAGGATTTAGTGGCATCTAGTGGTGTAGTTGCAGATCGCAACCCCCTCGCTTCACCCTCCCCATCTACGTGTAGGGGACAAACTACGGTGACCATGAAAACACCCCTATCTAGAATGAGTGTTTAGTTTGTCCCTTTTATGTTACTGTAGAAACATGGTGGTTCGACATAGCAGTCTAAGGTAACAAAAACACAATTCTCACTCAAGTGATTACAAAGCAAAAGCATTATGAATTTTATTATTATTATTATTAGAATTGTCTAAATTTCCTTTCTCCAGACGTAGCTTGTGCCCTGTGTTTCAAACTGTGCTTCACAAACGATCTACAAATGATCTCTCTTCTTGTATGTAAACACAAAACCACTCTAATGATTCCATCTACTATTGATAACTCACTGAACTGTTGTTAACCTCTTCCATCATCGTCTACCTCTTCATGTACACTAGAGAAAGGCCCTCATGAAATGTTCCAGTCCATATCAGCAAATTCAGGTGAAGGAATGTTGCATATACGGTAAACAAATATAGCCCTATCTTCGTTTATCCTGAATTCTCTAAAAAACAGGCTATTTACACCTGCATCATCTAGTAACCACAACAACAAACAACAGCAACGACAATAAGGTCAAGAGATAACACTATATCACCAGGATGACAGGTTTGCAGCTGTCTTGTCTTTCTTTTGGTGTCATGCTAAAAGCCTAAACTGTAAACAGGAGCCAAGAAATGTCCCCCCACCCCATATTATCCGGCATGGCACTGGTACAAAAGTAGCTTAGGACACAGCATGGGAATAGTGAGCTAGATAAATGTGACAAAAGAAAGATGGAGGCGAGCCAAATGGATGGAGGAGGAGAGATGAAAGACGTTTGTGTGTGTGATGGAGTTCAGATGGCTCCCACAACTAGAAGAGCAGACAGGGAATATTCCCATGATCTGCTGGGTACAGTAGAAAGTACAGCCCAAACATGCGTAATTACAATGCTTTATTTAAAAATGCACATGGAGAACAATAATGATTCATGTATTAGTTGTTCAGCATGATTTAAGAACATTTAAGGACTCATCCCTGTAGAAACCTTCCATGTTAAGTTATTTAGTGAATTAAAAGCCAGGTGTCCGCCAAGATTAAGTGCAATGAAAACCGGAAAATGAGAATCAATGGGCGTTTCTTATCCACTAAGGATAGAGGTAAACAGTTTGTGTTGCTAATTCTCCAGTTGGGCGCCAATAAACCAGTTAAGATGAAGAGGGCACAATGAGGTGATGGAAAAATGGCATTTATGTTATTATGTATTATTTTGAGGAACATTGCAATCTCTATTGTCCTACACATATCTATTTATTGTCTTCAGTGAAGCAGAAGCTGAACATTAAAGTCACATGCTTCATGCTGTGACTTTAATCTTGATTTATGTGTTAAGTCTGTTTCCATTGCACTTTGACGCATTTTGCTTCTATTGATACAATTACTTTTCCATCTCAGCCAACCATGATATTTTTAAGTGTGTGGGTTAATTTTGGCATTTCTGCCCCAATTAAAAGGTGCCACAGACAGTGTTGGGGAAGCTACTTTGAGAGCATCGCTCTGCACCAATTACTTCACACTGGAACTACTACTGAACTAGAAAAAGTAGTACTTTCTAAAAAAAATCTTTATATATCTATATCTATATATATCTATATATATCTATATCTATATATATCTATATCTATATATAATATATCTATAT